ATTACTGTTCCTTTATTACAATTTATCACTCTTGAAATGTGATTATTAAATAAATGATTTTGAGCAAATATTATTTATTAATCACATATATATATATATATATTTTATTTCTGTAATACCGGAATAAAGTCCTCCTTTCTACCGAATTTGAAATATTCATGGAGGGCGTAACTCGGTTGATGCCATCTTTCTTAAGAAGCCAGTTACTGGCAGTTTGCCCGTTTCGTATATATTTCCGACTTAGTTGTTGTGTAGACACACTAATGTACGTATTGGAAATCTATATACTATAAGTATAGAAATGTTTATGTTATGGTCACTCGCGATAGAATCGATCGATGAAGCGCTAGCTCTATGCAACGTTTCTTTTTCTACCCCTTCCAAAAGAACGTTATCTATTCGTGGAGTTTATCATTTTTTTTACCTGAGTCGTTCTTCCAGTTTATGGTGTAACATATCCGCACATAGCAGTTTACTAACGATAGACGGCACGTTCTCTTAGTTCGTAGGTCAACGACCCAGTCCGGGTTTGGTCGATAGTGTTTGGGTTTACTTGCTTACAGATGGTTCAGACAGACGACGAATGATAGTTTTTCAGCTGCAGTTTACGGAAAGGTAGCTCTTCTTTTATATATATATATATATATCGAAGAAGATGCCATCTACACTGGCCTCAAGTAGATATTGTGTTATCCCTACCTTCCGGGCTTTGTATTTCACTTCATGAACTTCTGGCAACACTTTTTTATTATTACTGTATTATTATTATTAAGTTAGAAAATAATTCCGGTTACTCCGATATAATTCAATTTCTTATCAGTAAAAGTTTCTAGTTTAAAAATGACTTTTTCTATCTTTCAAAATCTAATTATCCATTAATAAACAATTATAACCGGATAAAATTAGCTCAGGGATGGGTAAAGAGGGAATTTATGACACTCGAGAGAACGTGATCCACAGCAAACCAAATTTAATCAACTTCTTAGATTTCCTAACTGCGTCAAAAGTAATAGTAGTTATCACTTCCTTTTGAAAGTGTCGTAAAAATGGAGATGGGTCTGTAAATCAAATACTCAACTGCCACTTTAAACGCTTCGTTAATTATTATTATTAAGTGTTTGAATATGACGACAGTTTTATTAGACATTTTAATACGTTATTCTAACTTCTGATATCATTTAAAAAAACAGTAAGATTGGCATGAAACCTATGTTTTTATCCCCGTTATCTAGCTTAATCTGTGTGAACTTCATTGTGAATTATGATATAGGTCCGTGTTATTTGTGTGTAAACTAAAACGGACGTTTATACAGCTGTAAAGTATCTTTAGATTGTGAGTATGTTGACATTTAAACTTAGTCCTCATCCTTTTGTTTTCTGTTATTCTTTTGTACAGTACATTATGACATTTTTAGGTCATCCGTGTCATCTGTTAAAAATTCTATTGTTTTAAAAAAATAGCATTAATTGTTTTTAGTAAAAATTCCAGGATTTTCATAATCTAAATAGATATTATTTTCCTTCAAATGATAATCGTGGTAGCTTCTTAAATTTATTCGTGCGGCCTTTTTGTTTTTTTTTTAGGTTTCATAACTACACCGATATAATGGCAGTACTAAATCACAAATATCAAATTTAGGAGTTTGTATATATCATAAATTAGCTTCGTCATTAGAGGATAAAATTGCATAAATATTGATCGGGCAGAAAATTATAGCAAATTAATACACCGTTGGAGTTGTAGCATTTGTATGTAGTTTAGTTTACCCAAACGGCTAATATTTATTGTGTTTTTTTCTGTTTTATTTTTAGAAATCCTGACAACCGATCAACTAGATATGGCCAGTTTAAGACGTAACATGCCAGCCCGAGTTGTGATGAGACTTCTGTATGTCGCCTGTATCTGGACGTGCCTCTGTTACGTAGTATTTAAATTGAGCTATTCCAAAGGCCCAGTTACATATCTTTACGCTCACGTCAATAGAGGGCTGTTAGAAAAAGTATCTGGTGAAGTAATTACGACGACCGCTTCGGCTGACAATGTTCCTACACCCGGTATACCGCAAAAGTTCCTTGATCTCAACCCTCAAGTGGACAGTTCCCCCTCGTTGAGTGAAAAAGAGTTATTGAGTTCATTAGCCGATCGTTCTAACCTTCCTCTCGCATACTGGACCACATATAAAAACCGTCCTGTAGGCAACAAGACTTGCGCTCGCTTTCCCAGCCTATACGAATTAGAGTTTAATAATATCTACTGGCAAACATTACGCACTTCTAACGGCACTTTCTATCTTTATGGTGCCTATTACGATGATAGATGGAGAGCCGGTGGCATACCCATTGTAAGAATATTAGGAATGGTAGATAAAATCAAACCACTCCCAACCACTTGTCAGCTTTGGTTCGATGGGATGAAAACTGCCGTTTTCTCTCCAACAACCTATACTTACGGTTGGTACAGTAAATGGGGCAATTATAAAGATGGAATTTTGCAGCCTTTTATCATCTCTTGTAAAATACCGAAGAAGGAATCGGGTGGTAAAGTACCATCTTCAGTATCTTTGGTCGAGCACAGATGTGATAAACCAACCACAAACTTACGAGTGATCAACAATCGACCGAAAGTAAAAGAAAACTTCGCTGTCTGCGTGAAAGGTCTGGATTTTCTCCATCAAGACTTGAGTGTACGATTAGTGGAGTGGATCGAGCTCCTGAATATTTTAGGAGCACAGAAAATCTTTCTGTACGAGCTAGAAATACATCCCAATATCTCTAAAGTACTGCACTATTATAAGAAAATGGGTCTGGTAGATCTGACTCCCATTACTTTACCCGGAAATCAGCCAAATATACCGGGATTCAGACACTTTTATCTGAAATCTAAGCTGACTCACAAAAGGCAAAATGAATTGATTCCATATAACGATTGCTTATACAGGAATCTTTACTCATATAGTTACGTAGTTTTATTAGATACGGACGAAATAATTATGCCAATTAAGCATAAAAACTGGAAAGATTTAATGGACGATGTTGTTAAATTGGCGCTAAAGGAGAAAAATTATACACGAGCTAGTTATAATGTCCGTAATGTTTATTTTCTGGACGATCTCCAAGATGGCGACGAATTGACTCATGTAGCACACGAACATGGTATACCCCGATATTTTCATATGCTGCAACACGTCTATCGATCGAAAAATTTTACTAAACCGGGCGCTTACGTTAAATGCTTCCACAATACGGAGAGAGTAGTATCTTTGCATAATCACTTCCCACTGAATTGTTTGGGGACTTGCACAACTTTCTCCATTAATACCTCTCTGGCTCAGTTGCAACATTACAGGAAAGATTGTGTGGGATCATTAAAAAACAGCTGCAAGACTGACTTTCGAATCCACACCATACGTGACACGATCATTTGGCGCTATAAAGATGAATTAGTGAAAAGAACGGCGAACGTCTTATCGAAATTAGGATTCTTTTCTTAATCATTATCTATCCGAGTCATATTTTTTAGTGATTTTGACTATTCACCGCGTGGTTCCGGTGATGATTTCATGTGGGCAATAGCACGCAAAACAAGACATTCCTGTTTTATGTGCATAAATTTGCAAGTATGTCAAGGAGTACGAAAAGGTGAATCAGGAAGATGTTTTACAGGAAAGAATTTTCAATATAAAAGGACCAGCGTATTTGTAAAGTTGGAAACAAGTGTTCTTTTATTTGTGTCAAACGGGTACAGTTTTTTTTTTGTTTGTTTAATTTATATCAAAACATTTTGGTGCCATCTTTAAGTAGATACTGAACATTCCACGAGTGTGTTGAAGGGAAAATGTGAAATAGTAAATTTTTTTTTAACTTTTATTCGTATTTAAAATGAGTTCCTGTAGTCACCAACCGATAAATATCACTCATAATTCGAATAAAATGACGTATTTTATACGAAACAACTCATCCATTCAAATTGGCCCGATAAACTTCAGTTTATGAAGTGTAGGTGAATCGAACAATTAAAATCCCTACTGATTAATTTGTTATGATTCGCCTCTCCCAAATTTCCTCGTATTTGTGCCTATAAAACCTTATCATTCTTAACGTCAATCTGTGAATTCGATGTGAATAAAACCGATTTCTTAACAGTATGTATGCGTTTTCTTTCATAAAACAAAAGAACAAAAGTATGAGATAAGCCTCTTTTTTTTTTCTTATCAAGAAACTTATTCATACCAACCATTACCAGTTCTAAAAAGTTTCTAAAAATCTGTATTTGTTAAGTGAGTTCACTTCTAATCGTAAATTCTAACATATATCTAGATCGATATCAATCTCATTGAACATTGGAAATATTATAGCTAAGGGTGAACGACTTCTACTTGGTGAAAATTACGTTTCTCAATAGCCAAAACAATAGAATTTCTCCCTTTTATCTTCTGAACCCTTTCATGGGCCTAAATATTAAAAAAAAAACAACAACAATTGCTCGTTATTTAGATATATAAAACGGAAAAAATGGGTGTTTTTCGAGATAACAATTAATCATTTCCGCATTATTAATGATTAACAATTATCTCAACAGAGTGATAGCCCACAGAATGGTCACTATCAATATTTTTTTTGTCAGTGAAGCTTTATCTACAGACATTTAACAAATGTACAGAGTTTTAAAGAGGAATTTGATTAATGGTTAGCTAAACGATAAAGTTTAAAAAATTTACGTAAAATATATCTTACTTTTTACAGTATACAACAATCATTAAATATATAATAGCTTAGTAAATCTTTTTATAACATTTAAGAAGTTTCAAAGGCAAGATATTATGGACTCTTCCTGTATTTTTAACACATTAAAATGAAGTAAATTCATGTTATACCAGTTACGAGGATCTTATAAACTGGTTTAATGATAAGAATCACTTAAGACATTAAAAATCTTGTCGTAAAATAAATTACATACCTAAATTTACGTTATTAAACTCAATATTGTTCGGATGTATAATTACTTATATATATTTTTTTACTGCGATATTTACGTTATGTGGCATTCTTAAGAGCTTAGTAGCGGTACTTCTCTATTATTTTTAACTCCTCCATTATAAAACATGGGAGGAAAGGAAGAGGATAAAAAAAAATGGTTGTAAAGTTTCCAAAATAAGAAAAATCTACTTTAAAGCCGAATTTTTAAAAAAATGTCTTCTTCAATAATCCAAGCTTGCTTAATGGAAATTTTCTGTTTTCTGTTTATTATAGACTTACATTTCAATAGAGTTTATTCTTACTCAAAATTCCTAGAAACGATAAAGAGTAGAGAGAGGGAGGAAGAAGAAGAAGAAGAAGA